CCACTGGAGCAGAGAAACCTTTTAAACCAATTAAGGCAGTTATTAAAATTAACAAATTAGTAATACACTGTAACAATACTGAAGTACTGTTCAGGAGAAATTCAACTGTGTTACTGCCTATTTAGATTTGTGTTATTGCTCATCTACTTTATAATTTCACTTGTATTTTGTGGCATTCTTGTGGATGGCAAAACAAGAATTTCATTGTGCAGGGAAACACGTTTCCTAACTGTGCATATGACAAATAAACACTTTGACCTTTGAACTGATGTGTGTGTGATGATAAAACAGTGAAGTGACAAGTTAATCCCAAACAGAGGTGCCCTGAAATCAATAGCACATTGATTTGCTGTTCCGCTATATTGGGCCTCTTACAAGTGTGAATGTCAAAATGTTCTGTGCTACAAGTGTCATCTCCAGCAACCAGGCTTTTTTTATTCCAAGGGAAAGCTACAATGTGAACTCCACAACGCCAACAAGCAGCAGCATTTTCACTATTAAAGAGTTAACTTCTTACTGGGGTTCACATGTGTAATCCCCTGAAGAAGCTGTGCTTCCACCCTGGATAAAACAAACAGGGTGTGGGCCCCGGATCAGATGAAGAGTTTGTGTGCTTTTCTAAGACATGATAGTACAGTACACCAGGATATACTTTTTTTGCCACACCTGCCACACTGGAATGCATATTGTTCACGTGTGTGTGCCTGCATGTGCAGATACCAACAAAAGCTGAGCATACAGTAACCTAATAACAGTAGACTGTATCTACTATGAGGAATTAGTTAAACACAGGTGCATCTCATTCACACATTTTTCTCTTTCCTCAAAATCTCTTGCAGTATGCTACAATATCTAAGGAAAATATTTTTTGTTGTGTCAATTCTGTTACTTCACAGGTATAAAGATGTCTTGTGGTTCAGCGCTGGCTTTTTCCAAAAAGCTATTAGGGCAGAGACACACCAAGCCGAAGGTTGGTTGTCGGCTGCCTTCGGTGAGCGTCTGTCGGGGCTTGTCTTCCCGGTGTGCCCCACAGTGTTGGCACTAGTCTGTCTCTGTCAGCAGCTTTTTGGGCAATTTGACATGTTGAATTGGTGTCAGCAGTCGGGTCTCATCAGTGAGAGAGACCACTCTGATTGGCTGTTCAACTTAGCAAATCAGTGCACAAGAAGAGAATGTTTTGGGCAAGCCCCATGAGCCTGTCGCTGTAGTGTCCATGATTTTACCCACTTAGTTTCTCCTTGGTTTTCTCCTCCATGGCCTCTTTCTTCTTCCACAACAAAAAGACCAAGATCAGAGAACAGCAGTGACATTTGCAACTTATAAGACATGTTCTCGATTAAAAGTAGCTATAAACAGCCGTTGTTTTGAATGAAAGGCCCTTTGTTTGTGGCTTATACTTCTACAGTCCAGCTCTTTTTCTTTCCCTTTCTGAATGATGAATACAAATACCACCAACTGCTGGTAGGGGGAGGTATTTCTGTCACCCAGGTGCAGAATATATGTGCTAGTCAGCGTTTGACTGTAGTCTGTAGCGCGTGTTCAAGTGTCACTTTTTCAAAGCTGATGTGAGGCAATGCAGCAGTCAGCCTTCACTGGTGCTAGTTCTTTCACATCAGCTTGTTGTGTCTCTGTCCTTAGTCACACTACTTGGTGGACCGTGAGTTTGTACATCAACAATGGCAAGTGGCAAACTGACAGAAAAATCGAAGGCACACACCTGAGGATCTGAAGCTCTTCTTCTGAGTTCTGCAACTCATCAGAAAGTCGTCTCCACCTCAGCAGTGCCTTCAGGTCAGACTGTTCTACTGCATCTTGTGAGGAGATCTGGAGGGAGACATACAGAGGGTCATAAGGATGTCATGTGAAGGAAAAACAAAATTATTAAATTTCATCAACTAAAACAGAAAGAAACACAAGTCTAATCACACCAATATGTTAAAAGCATGAGTGCTAGTGCTATCATTATGTCTTAGGGATTCTTCTGACAACAATAACATCTGCTTACATCGACTTCTTGTCATACAGGTGGTGTGATTAAACAGCGCAAACAAGAAAAACAAGAAAAACATTTGCATAACTCCAGATGTATGGGAAAGCAAAGAGGATTACATTTTTTGTGTACTTCAGCTCCAGGATTAGACATGAAATTAATGTTTTAAGTAAAGGGTTCATATGAATGCTACACCCTTTTCCTTTGTCTCGATGTTCATCTATTTCTTTCTGCAAATATCTTTGGTTACCAAGCTACCAGTCACCTTCTGGCACAGGCCTTAGAAGGGCATCTAGGGCAGTGCAAAGTAGCCTAGACAATCTCCACACTGCCAGATAACATTTTTGTTTTTGGTCTATAACCTCATTTTATGTTTTATTAGAAGCTTTGGGTTTGATGGTGCATTGTGTGATTGGCCAGGAACTTCTACTGCTCTGACCTTTCAGACATTGTATTTGCTTCTTGCTTGTGCTTTATTGCAATGAACTGGACTCTTAATCTGTTTCCTAGTATACTTGATGAATGGTCTTACTACAGTAATGCAATGGCCAACTCTACCCGACATGCATTCCAAGTAAATATTTGGAAATCCTGGCACAAGTTGTGGAAATAGAAGGTTGGAATGTCAGCCTTGTTATTGCATTCTATTATATCAGTTGGGTGAAGGTGCTGGGTTATATTGTATAGTAGCACTCCTTGATACAAATATTAGTTAAATGAGTAAAGAACATTTTTCACTGACTGATTTTCATTCACTATGTTAGAAGTGAATCTACCTGGAGTGGCAGCCTAAAAAGGCCCACATTAAGTTACTTTTACAAAAGAGCTGTAGTACACTACAATCATTTTCCAGCAATTGCACTGTACTTGTTGTGCTTGGGCCCAGATAATGTCCTCCAAATAGGTGGCAAAGCCCTCGCTGATCCATTCCTCAGTCCAGTCTCTGGCTCCGATAACCAGGCCAAACCAGGAGTGGGCAATCTCATGGCACACCCTGGACCCACACAAAGACAGGCTATTTTGTCCAGAACCAGGACTCCCAGCAGGTAACACGCTCTGGGACAGGAAAATGATGTGGGGGCTGCAGAAGACAAATGACAGAAATAAAAGGATGAACACAAAGGATACAGCCAGACATGAATTATAAAAAGGAGGAAACTAAATAAATGAGGCTGTGAGGGCCAAAAAAAGAGAAAAGGATTAGAAGATAGGAATGTTTTTATAATCAAATGTTTTATAATGTTTTAGATGTTTTATAAAATATTTTTATAATCAAAAAGAAGTAGGAGAAAGACAAAGAAACATTGAAGTGACAACAGGACAACAAAAGCACTGGTTAAGAAGGACTAACAATAGAGACGGACTACACCGCCTTCCCAAGAGGATAAAGAAGTTACTGAGGTAATGTTACATACTTGTGATTACAGAAGATTCAGCCTGAACACAGCATGTAAGATGAACCAGCAGGCATGCGTACCAGTGAGTATGAGAGCCACTGACTGCCCGCCCCTTTCTCCATCTTCTACATTATGTTTAGCAAGGCGCAGCTTACTCATCAAGCATTCTTGCCAAACCTAACTGCCCTGTACAAACAACAAGCAAGATCATGTTCCCTGCACTAAAACTGTCAACTAACAATGGGTAAAATAAAACAAATAAAACTAATGAGAGGGTTTTATCCAACTGGGCCGGTTTTATAGCTCAAACTCTTTTACTTTGCTTTTAAACTTTACTTCATGGAAGTGCTGTAAATTTTAAGTTTAAACAGAGGTCATAAAATTTTAACACAAAACATAATTAATAAACCAAAGCTTTACCTTTAAAGATCTTTGGAGAAAAAAAAAGATTGGGAACAGAGCCAGACTGTACTGTATGACTGTATTAAGAAAATTGTAAGCAGCTGTAATTATTAGACATCCATGCCTGATTTATTGGGCAATTATGATTCTTAACAGAACACAAGGGTTAAGTTAACTACATATATATCTATAATATATTAGGTTGATTGGTGTCTCTAAATTGCCCATAGGAGTGCGTGTGTGTGGTTGTTCGTCTATGTGTTAGTCCTGCGATGGATTGGCGACCTGTCCAGGGTGTACCCCGCCTTCGCCCGATTGCCGGCCGGGACTGGCGCCCCGTGACCCCGTTCAGGGACTAAGCGGTAGAAAATGAATGAATGAATGAATGAATTAAATGTATAGTTATGCATATGATAGCTTTTTGATTGTCATCTTAAGTGTATGTAAATATAGTGACTGGTGTTTGCCTCTCTTCACTCTTGTAAACAATATGTACCGCAATCAGATTCTAAAATACACAAAGCTTTAAAATGTTGTTAGTGATGCCAAAGATAATGCCAATAAGAACATATTCTCAAAACTCTGGGCCAAATAGAACTGAAGACATTTATTAGTAACTGTGTGAGTTGCTGAATACTGTTCCTTGCTTAAGGAATATATATATATA